GTCTCAAGTGACACCATTGAAGAGGTGGTTTGTGTGTGTGTGTGTGTGTGTGTGTGTGTGTGTGTGTGTGTGTGTGTGTGTGTGTGTGCGCGCGTGTGTAGCAGTGCAGCAGTCTCACGTTATTATTTTTTTGAAAAAATCATAATAATAATCAGGCTCGCAATGTTCAAGCACTTTTTTCCCCCCCCGAGTGTGCTCATACCTTCCATGACGTACACCAGCGAGCCCACGTCGCCCTCCTTGATGATGCAGCTGTCCTTTCCGTACTCCACAGGATACATGCAGTCCACGATCTCTTGGATCTGCGACAGCTCCAGGTTCTTCATGAAGTCGTTGTCCAGGATGGCCTCTTTGATCAGATCCTTAGACCTCGGAGACAAACACGCGAGGTGGTGTTACAAGAACAGTCATATAAATGTCACGAGCCGTGCATTAAGGAAGCGCAAGAGTCGCCCAGCGCAAATGTCGGCTGTGAAAGATCTGTCCGGTTGGGTGTCGAGCAGGAAAAAGAATTTTTCAAACAGAAACAAACTGGGGTTTTTTTTTCTCAAATGGTGGCCGCCGCTCTAATAGACGTCTGGGGCCTCGTGGAATGACAAATATAAACGCCTCACCTCAAACGCACATCACAGAAGATGTGCTGCGATGACCTTTGCAATGATCGATCACGACCGCACCACGGAGCACGCGTGGCATCTGTAAAGCTGAAGTTTCACGAATCAAAAGCTGAAAAGACATTTGCCACTGACTTCGATAAATGCCTCACTGCAAATAAACGCCTAGCCGAAGAGCAATGGCAGTTTTCTAATTCCTTCGAGAAAGCATCTTGAAAATCGACAATTTCGGCAGCATTCCAGAGATAAATCTGTTAAGCGTTTCATTTATCACACGGCTTACTTCAAATGGAAATTACCTTTCTTTATCCTTCAGGAAAACAATATATTGCTTAATAATAGTAGTCGTGCGTCGCAGAGGACAAAGCAAACATGTCTGTGAGTAGCGTGATTATTGCCCGTCTACAAATGTTGCTCCACAGTTTGTGTTCAAACACCTGTTACGTCAATGCGCCACCAATGCCATTCATTAGCCAGTCGATAGCATTTCGATAGCATGTTCCATTGTTTGCTAGCATGAAGCTAAACGGAATCCTCAAGGCGATTCGCTCGAGTCGCTTCTGAATGCAGAAGGCAGGAAAAATAAGAAGTCAGTCAACGGCAACGTATTGAATGCGGGCTAAATGCTTCCATCCAAGGGTGCAACGATGAAGGCCAAATTGGCCTTCACGCACGGCAAAAAAACGAGAGCATGCTGCAAGCGCGGAGCAAACAATTAATTGTAAAGCTAATGTGGCGTTGTCATAGTACATCTGGCCGCGCGACAAAAGCGCTCAATGCCAAGATGGATTCGGAGAGCATGACGAGAGGACCCGTCAACTCATTTGAGCGCCGCGCCGGAGCCACTTGATCTTTGCTAAACAAGAAGAGAAGAAGTTTGAACACATCCTGAACAGTCATCAAAGGCGCTCATTCGACGGAGCGTGTCGGCTTTGTTTCCGTGAGACCGACCAGGTTAATGATATGCATCGAGGTTAATCCAGCGACAAAAAAAAAAAAAAAAAAAAAAAAAAAAAGCCCTCTTCTGCAAAGAAGCGAGCGTTTGATGAGTTTTATTCATGACCCGCCTCCGAGTTGCTTTGGGTTCATTGGCCTTTAGACCAGCACATTTCGCGGAGTGTTGTGGACGGGGATCGCTGGAGGCGCTTCAATACAACAGCACAAGTGGATTTGTTTCTTTCTTGGCCCCCCCAAAAAAAAAAAACATTGCATATACAACCGCCTCTGCCTAAGTACAGCCAGTAGCGCTCTGACACACATCCTCTCACGATACTGATTTCAAAATGCACCGAGGAACTACTTGAATTTGGATTCAAACTTTGTGGATAGTGTCTGATGATGCAGTCTTTGCCACGTGGTTCACTTAAGAATTACATCAACATCATTCCTTCTTGGATTCAAACTTTGTGGATAGTGTCTGATGATGGTCTTTGCCAAGTGGTTCACTTAAGAATTACATCAACATCATTCCTTGGCACCAAGATGCCACAAGCTGGCACGAAAGCACAACTTTTGTCAAACTGAAATTCCTCAACTCACTTTTACATAATTCCTAGGCACCAAAAAGCGCCAAGGTGGTGACCAAGTGCGACTTTTGACCGAACGAAGCTCCTCAACTCACCTCAGCGGCATGTCTTGGCAGCCAATATGCTACAAGATGGAGGCAAAGCATTACTTGTGGCCACGTGAAGTTCCTCAACTCACTTTTACATAGTTCCTTGGCACCAAGATGCCACAAGCTGGCACGAAAGCACAACTTTTGTCAAACTGAAGTTCCTCAACTCACTTTTACATAGTTCCTCGCCACCAAGACGCTCCAAGGTGGTGACCAAGTGCTACTTTCGACCGAACGAAGCTCCTCAACTCACCTCAGCGTCATGTCTTGGCAGCCAATATGCTACAAGATGGAGGCAAAGCATTACTTGTGGCCACGTGAAGTTCCTCAACTCACTTTAACATAGTTCCCCGCCACCAAGACGCTCCAAGATGGTGACCAAGTGCGACTTTGGACCGAGGCAAGCTCCTTAACTCACCTCAGCATCACGTCTTGGCAGCTAATGTGCCGGAATTGAACCCGGTAACCGGTCGCGCTAACCACTGGCCCACCGGGCCGCCCAGAGTGAGATTACTTTGTTTTAATCATTTCTTTATTTATTTTTGAATCTCATGGCATTTCATCCTCCCTCATATCTTACCCGTCCACATGTCAAGCCATCTCAGAAGATGAAAAGATATGAGATGAGGTCACGTGCGTCTATTTTATTTCGTACCCTCAGTGGAGGATTTGCCTGAGAGCAGCGACGACGCATTCAGGGCTTGCCCACTCCACCCCCATTTTGTGGCATCTCTGAGTGTCATCGACAGCGCGCGGTCTCATCGCGGATATGATCTCGCCTCTCTCCTCGAGCCGCGTCTTTTTTTTTTTTTTTTGTCTTTCCTCAACTCACCTGCTGCCACATCTTCTTCTATCTTATCCGATCTCATTTGACTGCTTTGATAAATGATGTCATCTCTTTTTACGTCGGCGCCACTCCTCTCGTTTGATATTTGTTTCGTCTCGTTTCTCTTGAGCATGATCTCCTGTTTGCGAGTGAAAGGAAGGCGAGACGTATCAGCCCGTAATTCACGTTTGGCACATTGTCACCTGCTGAAGCTTTTCACATACCTCGCCCACACTCTCCAAAAGCTTACTAATGTCTTTGTGGTGGGCGTTTAAGGCTCCCGAGAACGATACTGAAGCTCCTCGGAGATTTCTGCAGATCCGGGCGTTGCTTCTATTTTTATTTTACAGTGTCTTTTTTTTTTTTTTCCCCCCTTCAGCAGGGCATGGGGACTCGTTGAAAGGATTTGATGCCGACGACCTTATTAAAGAGGGCATGGTGAGTGAGGTAAGGCGGAATGCAAAAAGACAAAGTGGCAAAACATTGGAAATCTATTATTTTCCGCTTCGAGAGCCTGTGGAAATGCGCCTCATTTACCCCGGTGACACTCGGGAGGTTTGTCGCCTCTTCGCATTTATATGTTTGGCCTCTTGGGGCGACACTGAGCAGATTCCAATGAAAAGGAAAATTAAAAGCAGCTTGCCTTTTTTTTTTTTTTTGGGTGAGGGGGGGGTGATGTATCGGACTGCATGGCAATGTTTAGGGCCGAGCGAGCCTGGCTTTCCTTAAAAGGACAAACTATGCTATTTTCAAAGCGGGGGACATTAGAAGGGGGTGGTGTTAAAAGTGGGGGAGGCTCCGAGGAATAATGCGGCAGTCGAACGGAGAAGACGGATGCATGTGGAGCTCTCCTCTCTGCGGGTCTCGTAAAAACAAAAGATGGAGTGGGTGTGAACCGAATCAAAAGAAAACAGCGACACTTGGCCAAATATGCAACAGACATGGTCAAACGGCATCACAATGGGGATGCGTTTTACGAGAAGAATCCTCAGGGAAAAAAAATAAAAAAAACATGATCATTTGAATATCATTTAGCGTATAAAAGCACACGGACATAAAAACGAGCAAAAGAAAATACTAAAATTGTTTGACCACCATTGCTGCAGCTGACTGAGGAGTTGTGACCGTCATCCATGCAGATCTGTCGCTTTGCCTACATGTGGCCAAGGTGCAGACACACCAGAGGGAGCAGCACAACGTCCATCGAATTGAAGCAGAAAATGTGACCCCCCCCCTCAAAAAAAGCGTTTTTACAAAGTATGAAATAATGATGTGTTCTTTTCCTTCTTAAAACATACTTCAACACACATTTTATATAATATTTTCGCATTCTTTTTAAATAAATGAATAATTGTATTTAAAAGCAACGACGGGAATTTTTTTTTTTCTCTTTTTTGGACTGCCTTATCATAAATGGTCGACAAGTTACCTAATATGGTTCGTGGCCTTAAAGGGCTAACAAGAGAAGCTGCTCAATGTCGACTGTTGATTCCCCCCCCCCGCCCAAATAAAACAAGTCAGAATTTACAAGGGAGGGGGAATCATTTTCCGGCGGTATGATGATGATAAATATGCCATCAGGACGCCACTAAAAGCCTGAGTGGGACGTCGCTTAATGGTAAAGGCACACACAATCAAAGGTTTAGTGCGCAAATGATTATCGTCATGAAATTTTCATTGGAGCGAGTTGTCCTTATCTCACATTGCGAGGGCTGCGTCTGTCCAGACTCTTGCATTTATTTATGAACGTTTAAAGCCAAATAAAGCGCTTACAGATAAACGGGAGGAGGAACAGACTCAGGAGTGACCTTTAAGCTGCTGCGCACAATAACCAGCTTCACTTTTAATGACATTCTTGAAGCTTTGTTTGTTTGGTTGTTTTTTTTTTTTTTTTTTGGGGTGGGGGGTTGCCGATTGCCATGTTTGCACATGAGGCATCTCCTCCTCGTGTTTATGTTCTCTTCCCTTACTCTGTATTTGACGAATCAGTGAGCCGCTGTATTTTTGGGTTTTTTTTTTTTTCCACTGAGCTGCGGTAAAATAAATAAAGAAATAAATACCTGACTGACTTTCCATTTTTGGGAGTACAGCAGCAGATTTATTTCATATTTTTTTTCACTAAAAAAAAAAAAAAAAAAAAAAGAAAATATCTTCAAACCTCTGCAAGGATGTGTCTCTTCGTGACCGTCCGGCAAATAAGTCACTAGACATTTAACTACTATAATTAGCAAAGCAATCAACTAACGTTTTAACCTGCAGGCACCCAACTAGTCAAGCAACAAACGGATCAACAAACTAAATATCGACATTCCAAGTAGGCAGGGGGACACCCTGAACCGGTTGCCAGCCAATCGCACGGCACACAGAGACGAACAACCAACCGCGCTCACCATCACACCTAGGGGCAATTTGGAGTGTCCAATTAGCCTGCCAAGCAAGTTTCGGGAATGTGGGAGGAAACCGGAGTACCCGGAGAAAAGCCACGCAGGCCCGGGGAGTACATGCAAACTCCACACAGGGAGCTGGAATCGAACCCGGAAGCTCTGCACTGTGACGTCGACGTGCTAACCAGCAACAAACCACTCAACAATTAACATGAATAGCAACTGTTCAACAACTTGATCAACTCGCTAATCAATAAATTAATTAACAAACACAATTCCTCAATGGTTCACCCCGCAACCGACAAACTAAGAAGCCAGAGTACCAATTCAACTGGCCAATCAATTCGTGAAACAATCAACAGTGCACCAAAATGATTCAACATTTTTTGCAGGGGCGGGGTTAACCCTTTGAGGGACAGTGGTTACTACAGTGGCGAGCTTATCATGTTATCAAGTTGCAAGGTGCATGAAAGGGGTAATAAAAAAATTTAAAAAAAAAGGTAGATCTTATTTTAGTGCCTAATTGCCCGTCATCCTTCCCCAGTCTATCAAGCGTCAACCTTTGACAGCTTTCCTGATGCAAGAGGCCAAACCAGGGTGAAGGAGTGAGGCTGAAAGGAGGAGAGGGAGTCCAATCTGAAGGTAAACACGCAGCAGGGGCCTGCGAGAACTCTTCCGTCAGCGCGCCGCCGCTTTGTTTAATAAACGCGCTTTGGCACACATCAGCCCTTCCAAAAAAGCTCTCCACTTAAATCTGCTGCCGGCGTGTGGAAAATTCTCCCGCCGTGAAATCAGATCACTTTTGTCCGCTTCCCGTAAGATCCCCTTGTTCACCTTTCACCTTTCGCCGCGACGCGCTCACCAAAATAGAGATTGGGGGGGGGGGGACAGATGTGGATGAGTCTTTCTTCTTGGGAAAGGACAACAGTTCTGGTTGGTCTTCTTTTTGGGAAAAAGTGCAACATGTCTCGCTTGTCTTCTTTTTGGGAAAGTGCAAAAGCACGTGAAGGAAAGAACAACATCCGTGCTTTGTCTTCTTTTTAGGAAAGGACAACATTTCTGTTTTATCTTCCTTTTATAAAAATGCAATGTCCAGGGCATGCAACATATATCATTTGTCTTCTTTTTGGGAAGGGATGATATACATGGTGTGTCTTCTTTTTGGGAAAGCGCAGGATTTCTGGTTTGTCTTCTTTTTAGGAGAGCGCGACATGTCCGATTTGTCTTCGTTTTAGGAAAGAACAATCAGGTTTTGTTTTCTTTTTAAGAAAGTGCAACTCATCTGGTTCGTCTTCTTTTTATAAAAGTGCAACATACATAGTTTGTTTTCTTTTTAGGAAAGTGCAACACGTCTGGTTTGTCTTCTTTTTATAAAAGTGCAACATCCATGGTTTGTTTTCTTTTTAGGAAAGAACAAGATTTATGTTTTATCTTCTTTTTATAAAAGTGCAAGCTCCACCGCAAACAAGATACATCTTTTGGCTTCTTTTTGGGAAAGCACGACGTGTCTGTTTTGTCTTCGTTTTAGGAAAGAACAAACATGTTTTCTTTTCTTTTCAGGAAAGTGCAACACGTCTGGTTTGTCTTCTTTTTATAAAAGTGCAACATCCACGTTTGTCTTCTTTTTAGGAAAGAACAACATCTGTGGTTTGTGTTCTTTTTAGGGAAGGAATTTCAAGTTTGTCTTCTTTTTATAAAAATGTAACACTTCTGGTTTTAGTGAATCACAACATCCATTTTCTTCTTTTTAGGAAAGTTCTGTGGTAAAGTCTTTGTACTTTGTGACTTCCCACTGCTGCGGTAGCGGCACGTTCACATGACTGGTGCGAGAAGAGTGCATTCAGTTCCCATTCAGCGACAGTGTTAAGATGAGTGTGACTGTCTGTCTGTCTCTATTATGTACCCTGGAATTGACTGGCGATAAGTCCGGTTCAGTCCGCCGTTCACCCAAAAATTGGTGATAGACTCTGGCTCACCTGCGACCTTAAACAGGGATAAGAAGTCTAGAAAATGGATGAATGGCGACATTCCATCACAGCCGACACATTCGGTCAACTAATTCACGAACCAAACATCCTATAATTACCTATGACGGCCTGGAAGAATGAGACGTCTTTTCGTAGGACCTGATATGAAATTAAAAATGTTCTCAAATAATAATTTTGCAATCAAAGGAGACTTTTAGCGCATGCTCGTCCTACAGGTCCCCCCACCTGCTGCGCCTCCCGCAGCGGTGAGCCGCACGTTCGCGTGGAGCGGCCAGCGCAAAGTCACAAAGCGGGTAGAGTGGGGGAGGGGGCGTGGGGGGAGGGTGGGTTACCTACTGTGGACTTTTGGGGTAGAAAGGCAGCGTGACGTGGCTGAGATCGTGGATGTCGAAGGCGGTGGGCTCGGCCGAGATGGCCTGCCTCTTGGTGCGCTGCTGCTCCGAGTGCAGCTCGGTGTGATAACCGGGCGTGCCTTATCCAGCTCGTTCTGCAGCCTCTGGATCAGCTCGTCCTTCTGGTCGAGCTCCAGTTCCAGCTCGTCGATGAGCGCGTCGCGCTGGCGCAGCTCCTCGATCTTCTCTTGGAGCGCGTATTGCAGATCGCGCAGGGTGCCCATGTCGGCGTTAAGTTTCCACTCGCGTGGGTGTCCTCGCTCCTCTGCTCTGCCGCGCCGCGCGCAAACTTTATCCGGCATCAACAGCACCAGACTC